ATTCCTAGCGGCATCTATATATTTCAATTTAGTAAGATTCGAAAACAAAATATCAAATGGTGAACCATCCAGCTCATTATTTCCAATCAACAATCTTTGCAAACTTCTCAGGCGTGTCAAATCCTCCGGTAGTGACCCCGAGAAAGAATTATACCCAAGATCAAGAACTTTTAACTGGGAAAGATTGCCCAGCTGAGCAGGAACAGAACCACCAAGACTATTATTACTTAAATTCAAGAACTTAAGACTAGAAAGTGAACCAAAACCAATTGGAATCCCACCCGATAGATAATTAGAAGACAGGTCAAGACTAGTGAGATTCCCAAGTGCCGAAATCTCACTTGGAATAAGCCCTGTTAATCGATTTCTCGAAAGATCAAGAGTAGATAATGAAAAGAAACTCCCCAATGCAGCTGGAATTAGCCCTGTAAGCGAATTATCCGATAAATATAAAGACCTAAGCCTACTTAACCCTCCAATTGACGATGGAATTGAACCATAAATTGAACAAGACCTGAGATCAAGAATCTGGAGATTACTTAACCTTTGGCCTAACCATTCTGGAATTGACCCTGGAAGCAAAAACCTAGATGAATTAAAGGAAGCCAACAACGTAAAATCGGGTAAAGAATCAACAGCAAATAGCGGATTGAGTTTTCCTTTTCGAGTTCTTCTTAACCCAGATAAATTTATTCCAATTACACGACCATTTTGGCACTCTATTCCAGTCCAATTCAAACATGGGTTAGTTTTTCTAGGCCAATCTTTCGCTCGAATTCCCAGTGACGACCGTAGGTCTTGTAAAGCCCTCCATTCCGAGTTGGAACTCAGTCGTGGGACTTGCTGAGTAAGAACAGAGTTGACAAACAAGAAGAACAAAAGTGGAAAAATCTTGAGGCCAAACTCCATGATTTCTGTTAAAGAAAATCAATATGTGGCTAACCTCTATAACACTTTCAAAAAATAGTTTTCTTGCTTTTGATTACACTAATTTTTCTCTTGAACAGTGCTTCTGTCTGCAAAAATGAAGTAATTTGCATTGAAATTAATATATCATTGCCTATCCAGTGACCCATAAATTTACAAAATTGCTGGAAATAGTTGAACGTTGGTGTAAATTTAGGGACACACACATACCTTGGTCATCACGAGGTTTCGTTCTTCATTTCAATACAAATAAAACAACTGCGTATATGCATGTGAAGCTTTAAATATCTGGATATGTATGCGTAGGAGTGTATTAATGGCGAAAAGGGTTTTTCTCAACGGCCACAACTGTATGTTTTCATGGTAGTGGGAAAGCCATTAATGATAAATATAGTTGGTGACCACTTACCAGTAATTTGACTCGGTCCGTTACACACAGTAACGGTGTCTCTGTGTCTGTGATTGGCTTTTTCGGGGAAGTCCTGTGCAAGAGCAATTATTCACGGAAAAGTATGAGATTGATAGGACTATTTATCAAACTCCTATGATTGATGCCAATAATTGAATTGATTTCTTGTTTACATTCTTGCATGGACCCGTTGCTCGTGTAAGGTTAAGGGAGGAGGAGGTTGAATTTTCTTGATTTGTGTGTGTCATTATTCACTTGTTGTTTGTTTCAAATGGAACCTTGTGGCAAGTAGATTACCAAGAAGATGAGTATTGTGGTGAGATCATTCAAATTCTTGGTACTTTTCGAAATTATATCCACTTGTGATTTATGAATTGTATGACTAAGTCCTCCCTCTTGTATTTCTTAGAAAGTAGATATCATGAAACTCAAGGGCACGTATGATTTTTGTCTCTTTGATGTTCGATAATAAATATATTTAGTCGTAATTATTTTATCTCAACTCAGAATTCATTGGAGTATGGTCGACCAGTCCAACAATCCCTTCCTAGAAATACCTATTGGACTTACACGAATATTCACTATAGATTAAGGTTCTTAATAAAAGTGGAAGCCCTCCCAATTTCTAGCAGAAACAAAATTAATTAACTAGTATACTCTAATTTTTTTTTTT